AATGTCATAATGGGTTGTCCATTTATTAAAATGTCATTAATTATGGATTTTTAAAACTTAAATCTTAAAATTCTAAACTCTAGAAAATGTTTGGGGCAATTGCAAAAATGCCACTTTTTGTATGCACATTTGCAAGAATGCTACTTTTTGTGTGCACATTTGCGAGAATGCCATTTAGGGGTGCTCATTTACAAAAATGCCATTTAGAGGTGCCCATTTACAAAAATGCCACTAATTATAGATTTATAAAACATATATCTTAAAATTCTAAACCCTAAAAAATGTTTTGACACTTAAAACTCTCTAAACACTCAAAATAACATAGTTAACCCAAACATAAATTATATAATGAACAAATAATTTTGAAAAAGTGGCATTTTTGTAAAGATTTCAAAAGTGTGGCATTTTTGTAAAGTGGCACTTGAAAAGTGGCATTTTTTTAAATTACTCAAAATGTTTTGATCCCTAATAAACCATAACCCCTCAAAACTAAATCATAATGCAACAAAGTTAACCAAAATATAAATAATATAATGAATAAATAATTTGAAAAAGTAGCCTTTTTTAAAGATTTTTAAAAATGGCATTTTTGAAAAGTGACAGTAGCATTTCTCAAAATTTCTAAAAAAATTATATGTGCAAGGAAATTGTGATGTACACACAAATTGTGATGTACACACTATACTGATTCGAAATGTTTGTGTCCTCAACTAAAAATTTATTTATTTTTCATTACACAATTATATTTATATAATGAAATAGAAAATTTTACGTCCAATATTTTAGAGAAATTTTTAAAAATGCCACTTTTCAAGTGCCACTTTACAAAATTACCACTTTTTTACAATATTTGTAAAAATATCACTTTTTCAAAATTATTTGTTCATTATATCATTTATGTTTGAGTTAACTATGTTGTATTAGGGTTTAGTTTTGAAAGTTTAAGAGGTTTTTGGGGTCAAAAGATTTTTTAGGGTTTAGAATTTTAAGATTTAGGCTCTAAAAAATCATAATTATTGGCATTTTTGCAAATAAACACCAAAAATAGTATTTTTGCATATGTAGACACAAAAAGTGGTATTTTTGTAAATGTCCCAATATTTTACTTGAAATATAATTCATAATTTTTTTTAAAGTTATTTTTCCGCATAAGGATTAGAACATAGTTTAAAATAAAAAAAATTACGTTATTCATTTTTAAAGAAAAGCTTTCTATTAGCATTTTCCATACTTTATAATTAATGTTAATCCAAATAATTCTTTTAAACTGTGATTAATCACACAAATAATAATTCTTTGATTGAAGTTGATAAAATAAACACGATAATTAATTTGAGTATTAAGCTGAACCAAAATTTGTTTGTTGTATATATAATTTTTAAGTTTGAAAATAGCTAAATAATTCGTCATATATCAAAAATTACTCTTTTTTGTTTTTTTTTCCTATAAAACTGAATACGTTTGACATAAATGCCATGCATAGAAAAAATAGGCAATTACAAAATTGCACATTTGAGAGAGACATGTGCAAGCGTGCCATCTCTTAATGTACATTTGCCCTTTTGCCACTTTTCATTTACTAAAAGATAATATTACTCTAAAAATAAAGAATATTTT